CGATTCCCACATGGGCCAGTGAACTGCGCCTGAGCTGAGCTGCAGCAGGTAGCAGGATGGCTCAGCTGGTGAGAGCACATGCTCCTAACAACAAGGTTGCCGGTTGGACTCTCGCATGGGATGGTGGGCTATGCCCACCCGCAACAAACATTGAACATGGCATGTTGAGCTGAGAGGCCGTGAGCTGCAGATGGGTAGCTGGATGGCGACTGGACTTGGGAGCTGAGCTAGCTGTGCCCTCCACAACTAAGATTGAAGGACCACAACTTGGCTGTTCCCCTTCCCCAATTCCCCAATAAAATCTTAAAAAAAAAAAAAGAACACAATCTTAGCAAGGAAAGTGGATCAATTTACTATATGATAATTGGGCTCCTTTGAAAATGGAAGTTTGGGATAACAGTCCTAGAACAAAATGGGAAAAGTTTTGATGGGAGGAAAGAGAGAAAGGTGTTGACAGACTGAAGTAAAGCCCTGTGCTAAAGAACTGAGTAGGGTGGAGGTGGAGACAGTGTTAAAAGGAGAGACAAATTGACTAGCTTTGCAATTTTGCTTCTGTTAATGCCAAAACCTTGGGCTGTTTCAGTTTCCAGGAAGCCTACATTGGAAATTCATATCCAAAGTGTAAATTTCTCTCACAGACCTCCAAACACCTAATGGTCTTAAAATTAAATCAGCTTTGGTACCATCTACTTCTCCACTTGCATTTACCTCCCCTACGTGTCACCACCCTCATTTTTTCTTAGAATTAAAAAAAAAAGGCTAATTGTAGTCATTTCTTTCTGCTCACTTTCCTCTCTAGTTACTCACTAAAGCTTTATCTTGCCATCTGCTGTTCTATAATATTTTCAATACTACTCTCTCAACTACTTTCTTACATATTTGCCACAAACTTGTTCTTTGGGTCACTCATTAAAATAAAAACATTCAACTATACTGTGTTGCTATGCATTAATCAAACTTCAGGTCTGAGCTCTTTAGTATTTTACCTGCTTCCTCTATTCAATCCTTCATCTCCTCCAAACATATAAATGAAGGCTATGGACATTTCAGTGTATAGCATTGTGTTGGGCACATAGGTGCTTAAAAAAATACTTGTTAAATGAATCTTTAATAACTTCAAAATTATTAGATAGGAACATTCCGTCTATTCTTGGAAGTACTTTCCTCAAAGTTAACAAGCTCATAAATTCATCATTTGTCTACAATTAGGATTCCTAAGATTCTTCTCAGATTCATGAAAGACTGAAATAGAAAATTGTAAAAATCAAAGCAAAGCATAGAAAGCAGCTCTAAGGTTTACACAATTTGCAGTGTTTTGTCTTCAATTCATTTACACACTCTTCTCAGGATACAAGAAGCAATACCAGTTTGTGTTGTTCTCACTTCAAAAGTTGAATGTGGCCTCGGAACTGAGGTATCAGAGTCATTGAAATTTTACCTTGTTTAGGAAACTGCTTACCTTAGAGAAAGGGCAAATTGCTAGTTCCTCCTAATATGGGGACTGTGGAAACAGGGGAAATGCCTACACATCATTTTTACAAACCTATATTATGCTAGGGAACTTCTAATTTTGTAATTTCATTAAGCATTTTCAGAGTATATTTGGCCAGCACTGCACTAAAGAGCTGTGAAGAGGTATGCAAATAGAGAAAGTGCACAGTCCTTCCTTGCCCCCAAAGAGGTTACAAGGCAAAGAGAGAGAACCAGGCATGGAACTCAGAACAAAAGCTGTGACTGCACAATAATGTACCAGTGGGGTGGGGGATGGGGCTCTGGAAGTCCAGTTGTTACTAGGAAAGCAGTTTCCAGGAGGTGAGAGCTTAAGCCAGCTCTGAAAGAAGTTGATTGTAATGATTTGCAGGAGTGAAAGTTGGAGAGCCTTCTACTTTGGACATAAACATCTGCCCTGGTTTAAAGGTGGAAAGTGGCTGAAGTGTGGAAGACCATAAGGAGGCTGGCTTCCTAGCTGTCAAAAGCCTAATTTGGGGAAAGACTGATTTTGAGGATGTAATAGGTAAGTTTGGAGAAGACAGATGATGAAGGTAGGAAGGGAAGAAGACTTTTTTTTTGTTACAGTAAAAAGTTTAGATTTGATGAAGTGGGTAAAAAACAGGAAAATTACATGATAAGAATGATTTTATGACAATGTAAAAATTAGATTGCAGTAGAGAGCTTAGGAAACCAGCTTAGACATGCCATAATTTAGGCCTAGGTTGTTAAAACCTGGAATAAAATGGTAGCTGAAGAAATTTTCAAAGTTGAATAAATAGTAACAATAAATATAAACAAAAGGTTATACTATAATCTTTGTCATTACAACTCTTTAATAACACAATTAACAATAATCTCCAGAAAACTTCTTAGCTACATCTCCCCTCTTCCACCCAGCACCTTTCCCTGGCTACATCTTTGAATTCAAGACATTTTATTGAGGACAACCTATTTATTACCCTCCACCTATTGCTTACTCAGCTTTGTTTTCTTCCCATTTCACCTCCTCCTCTTCATTTATTCAAATCATTTTAGTCCTTAAAAGATCCAGCCTAAGTGCCATCTTTTCCATGAAGCCATTTATGATCTCAGAGAATTCCCTTTTCTCTGAACTTCTTTCTGCCTGCTAGTCACTTTGACTACATGCAACTTATTTTCTGACTAGAATTTCTGACTATCGATGTTCTTCATTCTGTTTAACTCTTTAATTTTTAAATTTTATGATCACTGTAGAAAGCTTAGAAAATAAAAATCATTTGTAATCTTGCCATGTTAAAACGTTGATGTATTCCTTCAAGTGTTGTTCAAAGTGAATAATTTATACATACACATTTTAAACTACAGTACATATAGTTTTGCATCCTACTTTTATTAGTTTGTAATTTTATAGTTATTTTAGAGGCTCCTCAAGCCCAAATAGTTCTACTCAGAATCTTGTTAAGACCCCTGCTACTGCTAGTTCTCTTTAACTCAGCTGCTCTTCCCTGTATCCCCTGATTACTCCTGGCTTCTGCTCCGTTGTGGCTCCTGTGTCCACCGCTTGCCTCCTCAATGTACCCTAAACCATTATTCAATATACCTCAACCCTCTTTCCCCATGCACAGTGTTTGGGTAGAGCTTTAACAAGCTTCCTACACATTGATTGCCTTTGGGTCTGGTGTCCATCCCAATCCAATAAACGTTTGCAAAGGGGGTGAAGGGGTCATGTAGTACCCTAAGATAATTTATGAAGAAGGAACCTCTCAGAGGAGTGGGAATGGCAGACACAGTTGGCTTGACCTGTATTCCTTCACTTAATACTTTTGAAAATAAGATTTTTTTCATGACAATGTAACAGTCTGCCCAATGCATGTACCAGATGTACTTACCCGTTCCCATAGTGCTGAACAGTTAGGCTGTGGTTTTCATAATTCAGTGACATGAACAGCCTTGTAAATTGCCTGAGTGTCAGGTAAACGCTCCTTGCATTTCTAAAACAAAATTACTAGATCAGAGGTGGTAGAGTCTTGATAACGATTTGCCCAGTGACCTTCCAGAAGGGTTTTATGACATTAAAATAAGAGCAGGGATTTTAACATTTGTTACATTTTGCTTCCTAGAAACTACAGAAAAAAACTATATTGTATGCCAGAAATACTTAATTGGAAGAAATACTTCCTCTTAAGAGATGCTCGCATGTAATGAGTTTAGTGTGTTTTAGAAATTAAGGTGGTGAAAAAGCTTACAAGATAGCAGTTTATGTTTTGAGTGGGAGGAACGCACTGGGGACAGAACTGAATTGGAAAGAATTATGTACTTAAGTATATTGAAAAAAGAATGAAGAGTATTGAACTATAGAAATTCACTCCTTGTCTTTAATCTTATGTGCATAACTACATTTTACGCAGTTGAGCCTTCATGTACATATTTGTTGTGCTTTCAAATATAATTTTGAAACAAACTGCCACTTGGTTATGTACATAAGAATTCCTGAGGCTAATATGCCAGGTGTTCGTCATTTCCCTTTGGTTAGATTTTTTTTTCCCTTCAACTTTTTGTGTTTGGATAATATTCTATGAATAACTTTGTGTGCTCACGTTTTTTTTCCCCCTTCAGGTCATAACACTGATATTTCCTAAAGTGGGGCTGTTAATTTAAAAATATAAACAATTTAATAGCTTGCCTTATATTTGCAAGATACTGTACTCCGTTGACATGATAACTTTGCACGTTTGCTGCTTCTTCAAGCTCCCCTTAGGAAAATAAAGTCTCTTCATCTTCAATAATCTACACAGAGTAGCGCAGGTACAACTGGCTCAGAGCTCAGCGCAAAGTAAAGCTCAATAAATATGCATGCATTAGTCTATCAGTAGGTTTGACTTTCCTCTTCTCTAGATTCTTCTCCCTCAGTCTCTTCTCTTCGTTTCTTTTCGGAAACTACTTCGTCGTCTTAAATTGGCAATTTCCGGTAAGTCATTTTGGGCAGAGGTGCCTTTTCGCGTCCTTTACATCTTCTTTCTCAGGAGGTTTCCCATTCTGGAGCCTTATCCATCCTGCTGCTGTCTGAGGAAGCCAAGCTCACAGCAGCCAACGCCACTTGCGTTCACACCCAAGGTGTCTCCTTAGGAAGGAAACGTTTTTTTTTCTTGGGGGAAAAAAAAAAGAAAACGTCGACGCCAGTTCTTTGGGGCAGACTTTGAAGATAATGGAATCGGCCCGAGTTTCTGCCCCACGATTCGACGCTGACTGAGTTACTCCGAAGACGGCTGTGGCACATTCTGTATCTTACCAGCTCGCAGGCCCCGGCGGTCACGACAGGTGCGAAGCCCGCCCGAGGAGGAAGCTTCTGCAGCCTCGGCAGAGCCACGGGCGCCCGGGAAGGTCCGCGCCTGACGCCAGGTCGAAGCCCGGGCGCCGGGTCCCCTCAGCCGGCCCGCGGTCGCCGCGCACACGGCCCCCCTCTCCGACCCCAACACCCACGCTCCGAGGGCGAGGGGGCGGGGCCGGCCCGCCGCGTCACCTCTGACGTAGCCGCCCGACCGGGCCGCCGCCGCTACCGAACCGGGGGGTGGTGTGGCTGTGGGTGTCCCGGGGGCGAGCGCTAAGATGGCCGCTGCGGCTCGGGCCGGTGAGTGTGCGTGAGGGGGCGCGCGCGGCCGCGGCTGTTGGCGGAGCGAGGCTCCCTGCGGGCGCGGAGGTCCGACGGGATCCCTCAGGGCGGGGAAGCACCTGGCGCCGTTTTCCCGCCGCGCAGCTTGCAGTGGGGGGGAGTCTGAGGGAGGGAGAGGGGGCTGCGGACCCCTCAAGGCGAGCGAGCCGAGGGGCGCGCGGAGAAGGCGGCGGGTCCCGCGAATTTAGAATTGGCGCCCGTAGGAAGTTTGGGTGGGTCCTACGATGTGTCCTGGCCGGTGTTGTGGCGGCCGGCCCCCTCATGAGCGCCTGGGGATGCTGCGAGGAGGACCTCGTAGCTACCCCGCGCTGGGCTGGAGGGGTACGAGTTGGGAGGAGAAGGGGCGAAAGTGGGGGACTGGAGGGGATGCGGAGGGGGAATTGTGCCCTGACACGGGCTCCGCACTGTTGAGGAGACGAGATCGCGAATCTGATAGTGGCTGGGGCGCTTGCGGAGCTGGCACTGTCGAAATAAAACCACATCCTACCCCGGGTTGAGTGCCGCCAAACGATGCTCGAAGCCCGCGGTGATGCTTTGCAAGGGCGGTTCTAGTCCTCGGCTTTAGAGGGAATGCCTTGCCTTCCCTCTATCGTTCGGGTCCCCGCGCTGCCTGCACCTGCTGCCACTTAGAGGCACTTAGGACTTTTGAAGACCAGCTTCCTAAACCATTCCGGCTGGCTGGCCTTCGGGGAAGGAATGCTAATGGACTAAAGTCATTGGGCGGGGGGTGGGGTGGAGAAAAACGCTTAAGAAACGTGTCAGCGTGAGAAGAAAAAAGCGATCGCTCAAGTTGAAGAGATGGTAGGACCCGCCTCCATCCCGAGCCCTAAAATAGAAAGTGAAACATGGTAATTGTTTTAACTGCAAATTGGAGGTGTTGTAAAATCTGCTAACTGGATAATTTGCAGTTTTAGTTCCGAAAGTAAACATACAATTTAGCAAGTCTTGGTGAAGTCCCTTTATCCTCAAGCCTCCCCTACTCCCCACTTTTAAGTTTTGTCATATCATGCAAATGACAGGGTTGTAAAATAAGCATGGAAATACGACTTTCGGGGTCTGCGCTTGAATTCTTTATTACCTGTTAAATAGCTGCCTGTAGGGCAGAAGTATTGGGGTGGTAACATTGGGCCTAGAATTCCATTTTGTTAAATCCAGCGTTTTGTGTAAACAAGGAAAAAGAATTGGCTGTTTGTTGTGATCAAATTCGGAAAGCCAAACATGAGTTATGCACATGGTTATAGAATGTCTGATAGTATCAGTGAGACTCAGCATTCGGTTGTCCTGAAAAAGATGGATACTTTGTATTTTGGAACTCTGATCTTTTTATTTTTAGTTTAGCACCTCAGGATTTGAAAGAGATTTTAAAACATTTTGGCTCATGTAGCTTCTCTCCCCCCACCACTTCGATTTCTGTAGCTTTTTCTGTGCATTAATGTTGCATTGGATGGCACATTTTTCAATCCAGTATTTATCATTGTAGACTTCCATATTGCAATTTAGAAATGTTCTGATATTGATCAAATAGTTCAGTGCATACGTCTTAGAAAGTTAAAATGTTTTGGCTGTTTTGATGGTGCATCAGTCTTTTTTTGTCATCCAAAATAATAATTTTCCCAGATTTTTTAACTTAAAAAATGTAAGTGACAGACGAACCCGTGTTTAGTGTAATATACAGAGACACACTTTTTGAAATATTTAAAATGGAAAATTTTGAAGATTTGGGTTAAATATTTGAAATATGTTGTTCCTACCTAATTGTCTTTATCAACCTTTTCACAGATTTTTCTTCTTGTACTACAGAGAGAAAGGAATAAGGTTTTATATATACCCTCTACCAAACTTTCCTCTACACATTTGAATCTTAAGATTCAAGAGGATTTTCTGTTCATTAGGTTGTTTGAAGGCAAAGTCTGTTTGTAATGTATTTGTATCCCTAGGACCTGACTAGCTGCTTAACATGGAGGAAAAAACCCTTGTCAATGTTTGTTGAATTGGGTGTTTGAATGTTACAGAAAGGGGTACAGAGAAAGACAACATTTTGGCTTCTTGATAGCAGAAAATGTGCTTAGAAGTTTTTCTCCTTCCGACAGTGTTAGGCAGAATGTATGTGGTTTCCAGATTCTAATGGAGTTGTCTGGTTGAGGGAGATTATAGAGGGGCTGGGGCCACTGGTTTAGGAGTATAATTCAGGATGGGAAATGTGTGCCCAATCATTCTCTAGATTCAAAAATGGGGAACAGTTTTGCCAGTAGTCCCAGCCTAAACAGGTGACAAGTAACTGAAATACAGGATAATTCTACAAATACTGGCTTTCTGGCAAAGATTAAGATTATTGTAAAAAATACAATTGATTTTTCACAGCACTTTCAGACACCATAAAAACTTTATTATGAAGAATGCATTTTTAATGGAGTTTTACATGCTGTAGGAAAAAGCTAATTTATTTACAGTCCAAGAATATACTTGTAGGCCAAATCATGGATGTGCTATTGTAGAATGATAGAGGACATAAGCATTTTACACAAATGAAATCTTTGAACTCAATTTACCACACCCATAATAGGATGTTGGATCTCTTTGTAAATGTTTGTCCCATTGTTATGAAGTTAGCTGCGGTAGGTTGATGTATAAGTATGATGGTATGACACTAATAATAAATATTTGGTAACAAAATTGCCCATGAATGAAATGTAAGTAGTGATGGGTAAGGAAATCAAATAATCTGGTGGCAGAACTTGCTTTCTAGGGGCTTTTTCTTAGAACCTCATCAACTAAATTTAATCTCTGTGCTTCAGGAGAGGCATGTTAGAGACATGAAGAAGGCCTAAGGAAAAAGGGTATCCTTTTTTGTTTAATGAGGAGTTTCAAGGGAGATCAGGGTAATTATAGATTCTAGATCTCTGGAGGAAGAAAGAATAACTAGGGCCTTTCTAGGGATAAAGGAAAGGAAATACATCATGATTGACAAGGAAAGGTACCAAAGCACATAATAGGCATAATAGCATACCTAAGGGGGAGCAAGGAGAGTTTGAGAGCCTATTGTGTTCATTCGTTCAATAATTTGTTCATTCAAAAATATTGAACCCCAGGCTGGCCCAGTGGCTCAGTTGATTAAGAGCTCACTCAAGAGTGTGAGCTCTGAGCAACAGGGTTGCCAGTTCGATTCCCAGTCCGAGCTGAGCTGCTGCTGAGCTGCCAACAGATGGCAGGAGGGCTCAGCTATAAAAATAAATAAATAAATAAATAAAAATTGAACCCCATTCTCTTGTACCAGGCACTATGCTTGACCCTTGGCATTTTACAAACATCTCTTAAGAGGACAAGGTACTATGATGGTTTCATGAAATAAATGGAAAATTGAAAACTGCTCATAAAGTGTAGGTAGGGTTTGCCTTAATTACAAGGGATAAAGTAATTTTCATTCTTATTCAAATGCATGTAAAGATTGTGGTGGTTAGTAATTCCTAAGGCCTGCTTCCTACTGCAATTGCCTTTTCCTTTTATTATGGAAAATAACAAATCTTCCTAATTTTAATAGATTTTAGAAGATCTGTTTAGATTATTTGGTACTGTTAAAAGAAAAATGCTTTCTTACAAAAATTATCTTTGTTAAACTAAAGAGTCTTTAATGTCTATCCTCTGGGAGGTCTCAGGAGAATTTTCTTTAATGAGATAAAGATGGTTACTGTGACAATGTTATTTAAATAGTTATTCTACTTTATGCCCAGTGGTATGAATTTTTTTCTTTAATTGAAGAAGCATATGCATTTATATAAAATGTGCATGCCCTTTTTTTATGAGCCAATAGTTCATATCTCAATTATGAAAAGTTTTGAAAAATTGAACTTATTTACAATGTGGTCATTTGTATATAAAAACATTTCTACAAAAGATGTGTGGAAAGTTCTTGGTCATAGATGAGAGTAGAAAAGCATATATGGTGCCACAATTTGAAGGTTCTTATATGCCATGTTAAGGAATTTTTATTTATCTTGTGGTCTTTCAAGACTTTAAACAACCCTTTAATTATAAAGCCGTGCCTGTAAGACACAACTAAGACACACTAGGAATTAAGTGTAAATGTTATATGATTATTATTTGACTAAGTATGAGCTATGAGAGGGGAAAGCTTCTTAATAGAACATGATGATGTTATTATAGTGCCTACTCAGATTTTAAACTATAGATTAATTCTTTTCAAGAATGTATATTAGCCGTTTCCCTCATTCTGTGTCACTTTTTTATGTAGTAATTTAGTTTGGCTATTTTTATGTGTTTATTTTTCATGGTACCTTTCTGACTTTCATAAGAACATCTTTTTAAAGCAAAGAATCTGAAAATTGTACTACTGATTGCACTGATTAGAAGATCTGTATTACTTTTGTATGACTGATCTTTGGTACCTGACCTTTTATGAATTTCCAAGGCTTATAACTATATCGTACTTTTCCATGCTTTCTTTCTAAGTGTCTTCTTTTTTGAAAAAATTATATTTTATTAGCTTCAGGTGTACAAAACAATGTAATAATTACACTTACACCCCTCATAAAGTTATAACCCCCCCAATCTACTACCCCTCTGACATCGTATATAGCTGTTACACTACCATTGCCTATATTCCCTATGCTGTACTTTACATCCTGTGAATATCTCTCTCTCTCTCTCTCTCTCTCTCTCTCTCTCTATATATATATATATATATATATATATGTAATTATAGTTGACCTTCAATATTATTCTACTTCAGCTTCAGGTGTATAGCGTAGTGGTCAGGCATCTACACAGTCTATGAAATGATAAATGCAGTACCCATCTGGCACCTTTACGTAATCTTTACAACATCATTGACTATATTCCCCATACTGTATTCCATATCCCCGTGACTATTTTGTGATGACCAGTTTGTACTTTCTAATCCCTTCACCTTCTTCCCCATCCCCACCCCCTAAGTGTCTTCT